GAATTCTTATGCATTGAGAAGCTGCGAGCATGCGAAGCATTCTTGCAGCAAGTGAATGCTGGCAGGGTGCAGGCTGAGGCAGCTATTATTTCTGTCAAAACAGATGATCTGCATGCCCAATCCGTAGCTGCTATTTGCAAAGCAATTACCGAGTTGGTGCCTGCAGTTAACCTTTTTGATAGAATATTTAACAAGAATGACAGGTTTGTTTTCAACATGTTTTCTTAATTCCTGCTGATGATATGTTCAATTGTGGAAATCTGAAAGAGCGTAAGGAACGAAGGTCTAATCTGTAGACTTTTGTCCCCTTTATATTTCCACAGTGATATAAACATTTTTTTAAATGTATTTTGAAAAGGCCCCTAAACATTCTGGCGTTTATGTTGGCTTCATACTGTATGTATATAAATACCCATCCTGCTTTATCTGTCACTACTCTCATGAGAGGTATGGCACAGTCTTAAATTTAGGTCTCCAATCTTCCTATATACATATTTTTGTTTTAGACTGCTTTGAAGAATCAAAAGCAAGCTCGCTCTGGAAATGAAGGATGATTTGGGGTAGATTGAGGCAATAAATAAACTAAAAATACACTCTTTTTTTTATTTCAACCTCTTAAAAGTATACATCAATTTAGATATTAAGATAATAAACAATTACAATAGGTATACATCGTCATCTTAGAATGAATACCTCATATTTCTATGTAATTTTTTAGGATGAAGATAAAAATATGGTGTGAAGTATAGTAAATGCAATAATGTGTGTAGTTAGCATTTTAATTACTTAAATTATACCTCTTTTAGATACTATATAATTACATTATTAATTTTTATTCAACAAAAATCAGTAAAAACAAACTGAAAATGCATATGTGAGGCTTCATTGTAAGGGGACGATATGTTGTATAAAGTCAAGTGTTAAAAGAGATAAATTGTAACCTTGTAATATATTTTTATACAACTATACATATTTTACCTATATCTGTAATTTTAATTTGATAATAACAACAGGAAATAAGACAAGAACTAATAAATATGATGTACATTGTAAAGCTTATTTTCTCACTGCCTTTTAATATCATCTCTTTCGGCATGCCTTTTAGGAAAGCTGCATATTTATTCATAATAACTGGTTTATTTGAAGCAGCTACTGCTTGTGCCTCTCTGACACTGGCTTGGGAAAGGGTGATAAGCACTTGCCAATGGGGGTCTAGTACGCCCCAGTTGTTAAAAACTATAGGTACGAGCTATTAAAATCTGTAACAAAATTAATAATGATTTACACAGTATAGAAATTTTGGTTATTATGCAAAATTGAGAACTTTCGGATTCCACTTAACCCTTACCTTTGTCTCCACATCCAATGCAACAGACCGTCCTTTAACGAGAATATGTAGGCATAGTTCTTCCACCAATCCTGAAATGAATTCCGTGGACAAACGGTATATCGTTTGCGGAATTTCTCCTCAGACATGTTAAATGTGATCGTCTTTCTATGCTTTTCTTTTATTTAAAGCCCGTTCTTAGGCCACATCCACCTCATAAACACTTTCCAAAACATTTAAGTAACCGTGGAACATCTTTTATATACGATAAACGTAGTGAAAAGTTACTCTCCATTAACTGCCACACAAACCTTAACCTTTCCAAGGTTACTCTATTCCCCCAAGGTTACATGTGAGGTTAAAACGTCAAAATATTTAGCGCGATACCAATTTGCAACATTTTAGGTTTTGGTTTTACGTTTGACAATTAGCGCGATACCAAATGTGCGTTACGTGTCACACGTCTAAGTTTTGGCTTAGGTTTTTGTTTTGACAGTTAGCGCGATACGAAATGTACACAACGTGTCAGATTGGCGAGGTTGGAGGTTTTGGTTAAACCTTTGACAATTAGCGCGATTGGCCCCCTGATATTTGTTATCTTTTCAAGTCATCGAGTTTTAGGCTGATGGTCCTTTACCTAATGCCCATTAAATAAATAATTCAGACTTTAGTCTGACCTGCCAGTAATCTTTAATACATAGAAAAATATTTTCGAGTAATCATAGGGGTATAAATCTATTATACCTCTATCCTAAGAATAATAACGCATAGAACAGTATAGAATGATAGTTTCATATCAAACGAACTGTCACAAGTGAGGTAAAAATCAAATTCATGTAGGCTAGTTTTAGTAGTAGGTGAATATTTATATGTATAAAAATACAAGTTGAAACGCGTTACTTCCTTGTGGAATGTGATGTTAGTATCTATTTTATGTTTGTCTGACGTATTTTTACATTCATTTACATTTACATTTCGTCATTTTTAGCTAAAATTCTTGAGCTGTTCGTGGTGCAAGTTGACCTTGAGCACTGAAGGCCCGCCCGCTCGTGTAGGCCCATTGGGAGCGCTTCAATTTGCCTCACTTAGCGTGTGCGGACTAGGTTTCTATGCGTTATTTATTATTCTAAGCCTCTATCTATATCTATAATCCCTTTGTAAATTAGATTAGAGAAGTTGTAAAGAAAAGTTTAATACGGCCGTTTATTTTGCAAAGTATTATACCTATGCCCTAAGAATTACCTCAACACATAGATTTTTAACATTTTCCTCTCAAATACCAACGCTGCATAGCTCTTAAATACAACAGTCAGTGTTGCCATAGTGTCTGTTTCTATATTTATATCACAAACCACTAATACAAGAACTTACATTTCACGGTAAAAAATATTATCGCTGTAGGGTTTAAAGCAGTTATGTAAAATAAGCTTTAGTTTTATAACAATTAGTCGAGTAACGTCGCCAATAATAAGCCTACTGCAGTGCTCTCATTCATAAATTATTGAGTCACATATATTAAATTAAAAAACCATCATGTAAAATCATTCTTATTTATTTATTTATTTCCTATTAACATTACAAGTTGTCATGCCTAATGCGATAGTGTAGACAACAAGTCTTACTTAATGAATTTAATCTAAATAACAGCAAGCTTAATAACTACTTTATTATTATTATTAAACGTACGACAGATCATTCGTCATTAAAATAAATTCCAATGGCCCCAAATTACTTTCCTGGCTGACTCCAGATCCAATAACATACGTTCCTGACCATTGACTGGCCAGAAGACGACTTGGTGCCTGTTTCTCATGTAATTTGCAAAGAAAGATAGTGCTTGCGGCATACAGCCCACTTGAGCTAGCTTCATGGGCGGACTATGGATGCACATTACGATTAAATTAAAAAAAGTCGATTCAGTTTAACACGATCTAGCGATTTTTTGTATCGATTCATTTCAATGCGATTTTTAAGCGAATATATTTAAAATTAAGGTGAATGGCATCGTCTAAATCGTATTCATAAATTAAACAAAAATGTCGTTTTATTAATGATGGTAATTGTTCCTATCAATGAGACATGATTACAGACAAATACTAACAATATTTAGCTTACCTGCATTCTTTATGGTATTATAGCAAATAATGAAACATTTATTCATTATCAGCATTTATTCACGGCTTTTTTACAATTTTTTGTTGTGAAGTCTATCGTCATAATTAGTCTTCTAATTGAGATTTTACTGATGGTTCCACTTATTAAATCTAGTGTGCGGTCCAATTTTATTAAGACTGATAATGGAAAATGCAAATTATGCCATTGTGTCTTAAAAGCAAAAGGCAATATGAACTTGTTAGTTACATGAAGAGACACCACTCTTCGATTTCGTCAAGCATAGAAACGAAAAATATAGAGGAGGACAATACTTTAGACATTAAGTTATATAACATTATTATTGAATAATTTAGTTACATGTAAAGGACTGGCATAATATATGTGAAAAGCAAAAAAAAGTTTATATTAAATCGTGTAATAAATGAAACATCATACTACTATTTATTACAACTTTGAAATGATTTTTAGGAGATCGATTCAAGAGCATACGATCCGATCCTCCGCGGATCGATTCATAGGCATATGATCCATTATTCCTAAAAATAATCGATTCAAAGCAAAAATAGCGTTCTGTGTTCTATGTCTACAAGTTAGACCGTGTCGATTGATCATTTTTAACAACCTGGATCGACCATGACCTATGCGTAATGTGATCGGGTCAAATGATTCGATCATATGTTCGAACTTTTAGCGGGTCACTCGTCGCTTACGATACTTCCATATGGCGTTTAAAAGTGTCAAGTTATACAATTAATTATTATTATTTTCTGCTGATGGGTAATGTGTATAAAGTTAAATGCATCATTGATAAGCCACAGTTAGGACACTAAAATTTCTTTCTAGGAAAAGTAACGCTACAAAACAAAGATACATAGCAAAAAACTTATGAGCATTCAAAATTACTAATTTATTATTCATTAATACTTTAAAATTTGCTAGTGCACTCTTATATAATCACTACACACCGAAAAACAGATTAAACGTACAAAATTACCGTGTAATGGACACTACGCCACGGAACAATTAGGATGAATGACTCATTGATCTGTTAACCTGTTGATCGATTGCTTGACTTTTTGGTTCGATCGAACAAATGCTCGACCCAAACGAAGAGTGAGAAGGCGAACCGTGTCGTAAGTGGGGACTTCATGTGAGAGTGAATGAGACAAAACAATAGTATTGTCTGTTCTAGACTGAGTGCTATGTGAATTATTGAATAATCTCTAAAATTATGGCCATATAGTGGATTTTTGCGCGCATGAACCATGAAACTCTATAATGAACGGATTATTTAGAGGCTAGTAACCCGGGTTATTGGGTCACAGGTGCTGTTCGAATCGACACATGTCTAGTACAAGTTACTTGATAGAATTCGGTTGTATCTATCTAGTCTCAAGAACCAAGAAAATATTTATTTGGAAGAAGTATCAAAAATTTGCAACTCAGAGGAAATTGCATATGGCCAAGGCTGGCCTCCAAGTGCCAAAATATAAGAAAAAAAAAGAAATAAGTGGTAACCCTGGGAGTACAATACAAATTCTCGTGTCATTGTCAACCCGGTGTAGCCACGACGTGAGCGCAATGGATGGTTCAGGGGTCGAAAATATTCAGAACCTAAATATAAACGAAAAGGCAGGACTTTAAATAATTATTCTTGCTTCAAACGGTATAGTTACACATTTCCCAAGTGATGTTAACGTTGTCCCGATTCCGTGTTAGCTGCGCGGTTCGCTTCAAAGAGGGCTTTGCCACATGGGTTTGTAGGATTTCGTCAGCGTATATTTTCTCTAAAAAGTTTGTTAAACATTTGTATGTAACATCATAAAACTGTTTAAATAGACTTATTACATTTGAAACGCGAAAAATCGTTGAAAGTAACGTATCCATCTGAATGCTTAGCGTTATATTCCTGCATGCAGTAATGCTGGATTTTCATATGAGCTACTCTTTTGTGCTATTTTGGCTGTACAATTAACACGTAAAATGATTACATTCAGTAGAAGTAGAGGTCCTTGTGAATGATTTCATCCAGGGAAGTACTGCCAAGTCATGTGAGCATTACTGTGTTTCGGTTTTGAAGGGGAAAGGTGCTGGTGAAATTACAGGCGCATGCATTGACTTACAAATCAATGGACGACGGGTCTAATACAAAAACCACGAAAAAATGTGCCAAGTCAACCTATTTAAACGTAGTGACATGTAAAGGAATATGAAAAAGCTAAAACGTTGAATTTAAATTGTAATGTCATCGCAGTACTGTCTAATTCTGCTTGCTTCGCTGTCAGTCGAACAAATGAAGACTAAAGCGTGAATGACGCTCTGTATATGATTTTAACGCCCTATAAGTTTGGACACTTTTTAGCGCAGACCCGACGTCCATATAATTGTAAGTAAATGGGCACATGGGACTTTTCAACTTGTGTCTCGGGGTGATGAGCGCAGTGGCAGTGCCCCTCATTTGTGATTTCAATCTCTGAGTGGCACTGCAATTGTTTTGGACAGGAATGTTGCTTACCGCCAAGCGCACAACTTGTTTGTCCTATCACTTGGTATTATTAAGAAAAAAACAAACATTATTATTTTTGATTAAAAAGAACAGCAATTTTGTCACATCTTATTGTCAATGAAAATGATTTGGTGCATATTATTTACATTTGAATTTAATTATCATTTGTAATAGAACATCGACTGTATAGGATGTTAGAAATCTTCAAATATTGTGGATTAAAATTTACAAGTTTGGTTTTTCATATATACATTACATTTCTAAAACTGAACTATTGAAGTATATTAAGTTATTTAGAATCTGCATACTTTTTCTTTATTTCCAAGTTAAAAATGGATTCAAAAGACAACAGCACATGAATAAAAATAAAATTTTCTTCTCCAGTCCAAAGCAAAAGCAATGAAGGAAAAAAAGAAAAAAGAAGACACATCCAGTGGAGTTTCCGAGCTGAATCCATGGCCAGAATACATCCAAAAACGTATTGAATTATGGGACAAGTATAAGGCTCAATATGTAGAGCAACTTGCCAATAAACCTGATGTCAGCATTGTTGTGACACTGCCTGATGGAAAGACTGTAGAAGCAAAAGCATGGAAGACTACACCTTATGATGTAGCTAAAGGAATTAGGTGAGTTTTGCTTTATTTATTTATTTATTTATTTATTTATTAGATGTACAAAACAGTTTACATTCACTCCTTAACCAAAGCTTAAACATTACTACTAGTTCTACTCTTGAATGTAAACCTAAACATGTACATACAGCATGACCAATCATGAGTAAACAATATTGTTTGAAATATAAATTATTTGTAAATTAATATAAAATACTTAGGCATAAATAAAACTATAACCTTAAATAAAAAATAATTACTATGACTATAACCATGAAAGAGAGAAACCGTGGTGGTTGTGGATCCGATTGCGAAATCTTTTAACATTACCATCAAATATATCCATCCCTAAATCATCGCCAGGGTCAGCCATAAGGTCATTGTAGGCCCGACACATTCTCGTCAAAGGGTTGTAAAAAGAAGTATTATTAGTATAAACATTCAATACGAAGTGGCTTTGATGATTACTATGCTAAACATTGGCAATAGTCATTGAATGGACTACAGACATTGCTAGAATCTGCTCCACACACAAAGTTGTACTATAATGTACACATGAATGTAACTTCTAGAAGTTCTATTTACAATCTGTTCCAATCCATTACATAAACATAAAATAAACAAAACTTTTTGGTTAAAATTCTAAAGCAATCACTCAATAAATAGATTAAGTAGCTTTAGTAACTTTTTATTTTATTAGTAACTTTCACATATATTTTTAAGATTTCGACTAGATATCTCATCGCTTTTTCCAACAATATTAATTTGAATAGCATCAGAAAATCATATTTGAAAAATGGTCATCCAAAAGTGAGGTATTTTTCAGCTATACAATTATGACTTGTCTATGGTTGCATAGTGCTGTATGAAGAGAGAGAGAAGAGAAGCATTCGGTTCATTCAATTAAAGTTTTTGTAATCAATTAGTAAATTGAAAATTTCAATCACAATTGAACGAATATCTAAGTGTGAGGATTTGAAGGAGGATTTAAAATTAAGATTTCGTAAATTTTAAATACGCTTGTATAGGTTATGTAAGGAAAACCACTAGTTTGACTCAATTTAAAAAATCAATTCATTCAATTAACTAATAGAATTTAATTATTTAAAGAATGATAATGATAGAACACTTGATCTTGTGCTATGTAACTCTCAGTCTGTCAGTGTGGTTCCAGCAATTGACATTATCTCAATGGTAGATTCACATCACCCTGTTTTACAAATTAGTCTATCGTTTCCAAAAACATTTAGTATATACATATAATATGTCTACAAGTAAATTGTGTTACTATAAAGCCGACTAGTCACCTCAGAACGAAATAGATTGGTCAGTAAAATTAAATTCTAGCTGTTCTGCTGATAAAATGATTGGCATTTTTTTATGAAGTACTTTATTCTATAATAAAAAAATTTGTTCCCTTTGCTAAGAAACCTAATAAGAAATATCCGTACTGGTTTACTAACCAGCTTATTATAGGAATAAAGACAAATCGATAGTATCCAACTACAGGCCCATTGCAATACTTTCTACATTAGCAAAGGAATTGGAGGCTATAATTTGTCCAAAAAGTGTTATCTTGGCATATGTCTCCACTTTTGATGAACAGCCTACATGGTTTTGTGAAAAATAGGTCTACAGCAACAAATTTAACGACATACGCTGAAGACCTCGTGGAAGTAATAGATGCACGTACACGGGGATACGGTTTATACAGACTTCAGCAATGCGTTCGACACAGTGCATCATATCTTAATCAATAAGTTAAAGAGTCCTTGCTGAGTTGGTTCAATTCTTATCTGTCCGGACACAATCTCAGTGTAATGTTAAACGGTTTTAGCCCAAATCCTTACGCAATCGGCAACGTCTGGCATTCCGTAAGGATCTCACCTGGGTCCTTACCTTTTCATACTGTTTATTAACAATATCTATACATGTTTTCTCGATTCACAAACATATTTGTTTGCCGACGATCTTAAGGCCATAAAGTCTATTCAAGACTTAGCTGACTCTGCCTTTTTTCAGGATAATCTCAATAGGCTTTCAAGTTGGTGCAAAACGAACAGGATGGCTTTAAACATTAAGAAATGCAATCACGTTAAATTTACTAGAATCAAAACATTATACCTGCCAAATATAACTTAATTGGAGAAACTCTTGAACTACTACTTTGATAAAAAGATTAAGTTTGACAAACATATCGACAATATTGTTGCAAAGGTTTCAAGAATGCTCAGATTTGTATTAAGAAAATGTAAGAACTTTAAAAACCAACACTTATAATGTACAAGTTTTTGGTTAGGAGTCACTTGGAGTATTGCAGCGTAGTCTGGCCACCGTGCTACAATGTTCATAGCATAAGAATTGAGAAACTTCAGAAAAGATTCATGTATCACTTAGCCTACAGCTGCAATATGGCCAAGAAACTCAGCTCATATACAGATCGTTTAAACCATTTTGGGTTTACTACACTTGAAACAAGACGCAATTTAAACCATTTTGGGTTTACTACACTTGAAATAAGACGGAAAATGCAAACTTAGTTTTTTTTTAAGAAATCAGTCACTGGGGTTTTTAATTGTCCAGATTTATTAAGTAAAATTCAGTTCAGCGCTCCAACTCGACCACAGAGAAATAATAGGAAGTTGTTTTGCATTCCTAAACATCATACTAATCTCAGATTGCACTGTCCCCTCTCTCGGATGTATACACTTTATATGCAATATTACAATTCAGCTGATTTGGCTACTATGTCAATGAACTTACTTAAAAGACTTGTATTGTACTAATAGTTATAGATTCTCTTTTCTCTCTTAATAAGTATTTTTTAATAGAATGTTAACATTATGTAAAAAAATAAAAAATAAACTGATTATTGTGCATGCGGTGTTCTCCTCTAAGTAATGGGGCAATTGTATTTATGTTTTGTATAATTGTGTTATTGTAATGTGTATTGTACTCATTGTTGGAGAACCAAATAAATAAATAAATAGATTTATAGTTGGCATTACAACTGGCCATCACCAAAACATCTATGGTCAGGTCAGTTTAAAATGGATTGAAACGAAGTATAGTATCTATGGATTATGTACACCTTCATATTGTTGCAATAATAAACAGAACTCACAACTTTTTTCTATCAAAAATTTTAACCATAAAGTAGAATAGATCAGTAAAAGTATCTTTGTTTGTACACTACAATTTTCCGTCTCCGACAATTCTGGCAGTTGTTACAAGAGATAACAGATAATGCCTTTAGATTTCACGAAATTCAACACTGTATTTGTTTAGGTACTTAACTAAATGTAAACAATCTTGCTAATCAATAGGTATAAAAATAGGTATGCAATTTCATATGAAGCTAACTATTTATATTTTGTATTTGAAAGTAAGTAAAAATGATTTTATAAATGTATATTTCATTAAATAGACATCTCAAGATTGTATACATTTAGTTAAGTACCTAAACAAATGGACTATAGTAGTTTCATCATTGCTACATTTAATATGATCATTCCCATAATCATGTTGTCATTTAATTACACTTATTTACATTGTATAATAGTGGGTGTCGATTTGGTCTGTTAATTGCATCACACAGGTATATATAACATTGAAGTAAGAAATTTAAATAAATTCTTACAAATTCACTAAATATATTTGATATGGTGGCGTGTGCCATCCATTTTTTATTCATATACTGTCACACAATAGCTTGTTCATTTGTTTTGGAGAGAGCTGCGAGATATGAGAAGGAATTAACAAAATTATTTGGAAGCAACTGGTACTGCACCAGACCTTCTGTGCTGCAATGCCAAATACGTTGCAGCACACAAGGTCTGGTCCATTGGAGGGGCAATAGGTAACAACACTGCAGTGGCAAAGCTTAGCCTCGCCTAGAGAGTCACCACACATATTAAGAGGGAATTCACTTGTTCTGGTCAGAAAAAGTATAGAAATCTTTCATTTTTATTATATGTCATTTTTATAACATGGATACTTAAGTTTTCTTGTCTAGCTTATTGTGATTCTGTGTCGATAAAGGTGATGACTTCCTTATGTGAAGAATTTTGCCATAGCTTAATAATTGTGGTATGAATCATTAGATGTCTAAAATGGAAACAAAGAAATGTCATTATCAAAGTGTGAATGTACTAAACATTTTATTTTCAACGGAAATTGAAAAGGAGGAGGCTCTCAATTTATACACTTTTAATTATCTAATTCAAAATATTATCAATAAACAAAAACTGACAACACAATAATTTAACAAACGCACTACCCAGACAAGAAAACATTCGAGTTTGAGAATCGAACCACAAATGCTATCTGTGACACGACAAAATGGCAGCACAGAAAATGTTTTTCATCCCGATTGTGTTACTAGTATCATAATATTATTTACGACCTTAAAGTTAGTCTTCTATTATAATTATTGTATTAAATGAAACTAAGTAAAAATGTATATTGCAAAATACGAATTAAATAAAAAAATTACAGCTTCAAAAGATTTCCAAATGTTTATTATTGTCAAAAATAGGACACTGCCATTTAAAATATTTTTTTTTACTCGGTTATCCCATTTGTTTATATTTTGGACATCAAATTATAATTCATACTATAGGTCTTTTATAAATTGTATATTAGAATAGATAGTGAGATCTCCCTGTGTGATTCTTTTGGGAAAATTAAAAACCAAATCAACACCTCATATAAGAAATGTCATCAATAATCTAGAAGACTATTTCTCTACTGCCAAGCAGAATGAGAATACTTTTATACCTATTTTAATAAGATTTATAGTTCAAAGTATATTATGTAACTCAACATTGTTATGTTTTGTTACAAGCGAGTTTTGGAATGAATTGTAAGTAGATTTATGTGCAGGTGTGCTGCTGTGATATTTGTTGACTTTGTTTGCATGATTAATGGAGCCTACACTATGACTGCTACAGTGTGACATTAGTCATGCTAACGAAACTAAGACTGTGAGGTTTAATTAACTTACTAATCTTTAAAAGCAATCAATGAATATTAATTACCTGCAAATTCAGAGTTAACCACTCTTGGTTACGCCACTCTACTATATTCACTTTGAATATCTGGGTATTGAAAATGATAAGATAATTAAAAAATATCCCTTACGCCAATTACTTATATAACGCTACAGCTTACAGTTTAAAAGTGATAGTTTTATTTAGTTGTATAGCTGACCTTGTGCCTAACTTGGGACTTACTATATCAATAATTTCGTTACTGCCCGCTGGTCCAGCACTGGGTATGACGCATCCCGCAGCATAAGCACAACCTTAATCCAAACTCGACCACGTGCCACAGGCCGAGTTAGTTAGGGTTGCAAGACACTGGCTTACCATTTCCGGGTCAATTCTACTAGGGTAAGGGAGACGAGATGTTTACTACTAGAAGTAATTTGTCAGATGGCCATCTATCAAATTTGATGGTTATAACAGGGCTGTAAAATTGTTTTCTACCATCTTTTGGGAGTTCTTAATACTCATTGAGTACCTACAAAAAAATTATGTCATTCGCAATCAATATTACGAAATTAATTGGCACAACTACAGCGCTTCTTAGTTCAGGGACTTCTTTTATGAAAACGACTCTAATAAGTTTGTAAAAACAACTTCTAAAGCCCGGTTTACATAGGTCAATCGCTTAGCGAAGTAGGCAAGTACAGTGAACAAGGACAGTGGTGTGAACCGATCGAGCAGTGGCGAGTCAACTTGGCCTCGCCACTTGGTGTAATATAAACAGCAAAATTTAGTACAGTATCCATTGTTGTTGTGTGTCGTAAGTCTCGATATTCCTGTCGATCTTCAGTAGCCAGTTCTTTGAGTAACAGAGCATTAGCACCAAGATTTGCTTTTCTTGCAACTGCTTCCGTGGCCAAAAGGTTACTGCCACACATAGGTCCCAGGTTCGATTCCCGGGCCGGGAGAAATATTTGTATGGCCTACATTTATTTCTCTCGTGAGTTTGGGTGTAATTTGTGGTTGTTTATGTGTGCGTCCTTGGCACCCGCGACACAGGTTTCCTAGTGCGGGGCTATGTTGAGCGTGTGCGTTATTATTATTATTTATTTCGCTGGAGAAATGCCACTTGACTGGCCGTAGTGTAAACAGTCAACTGTCCAGGCTACTCGTCACTGTACTTGCACTCGCCGCTTCGCTAAATTTTTGATCTATGTAAACCGGGCTTAAGTGTTTGGTATCCGGGACAGTAAAGTTTCATTACTGGACACAGAACAAGATGAAAAATTTCGGGACAATCCCGGATTTCCGTGTAAATACCGTAGTTCTCGCATTTACAACGGTATTTGCAATCTAAATGTTTGAAAAAACAATGAAGAAAGTGTGTCCAAGGCATCGATTATATAACCAAAAATAGAGACGAAATGTCATTTAATTTGTTTGAAAACTATTCTGCCATATTATAACTGTGACGACTGCGCTCCGATTGGCTAGCCCGAGTTCGAAACAATTGACGGGTGTCGTCAACTGTTTCACTTCAAATCGACCAGTTAATTTGAGCATTGCTATAATGGACGAAAATTGCAAAAAATACATATTTAATATTTAATTACCGATGAAATGTGATTCCGTTTGTTTTGGAATTAAATGTTTTGCTGTTTTTCCCACACCACCGAATAGAACAGCACGGCATTGTTAGAGATATTATCTTTATTACAATAAATACAGAATATTTTTTGGAATATGCGGAGACGTAGACACAGGCCAGTAGTTGGCCTGTCTATATTTCAGTGTAAACGGGAGTATATATAAGAGCTGTATCGCTGTGTTACCAGGAATATATGGCCCTTATTTCGTTTCTATTTCTGGTTTTATACTCGATGGTCCAAGGTATGGCTTATGTCCCACCTTGGACGTTTTATCTACTATACTAGTAATATCTCCCCACAGCCAAGGCCTGGCAGACTCAACGATCATTGCTCGCGTGAACAACGAGCTGTGGGATCTGGATCGACCTTTGGAGGGTGACTGCAAGTTGGAGTTGCTGCGGTGGGATAACACAGATGCTCAGGCTGTGTTTTGGCACTCGTCTGCACATATGCTCGGAGAGGCAATGGAGAGGGTATATAATATTATATAGGGTATATACATATGTATTATGATATAAAATATTGACACAACTACATGTACAACATAGATCAAAATCATTCTATACATTTAAAATAATAGAAAAGGGAAGTCACACTTCAAAAAGTATGCCTTTTATTAAAAAACTTTATTTTTGTCAAATATATCTGTATAGATGTCTGTATTTGTATAATTGCGTTACTACGCCAGTGCGTGCATGTAGGCGTGTTTTTTCTTTTTTTTTTTTTATAACATTAAGTGACGGGATGAACAAGTCGTGTGTCAGATGGTAAGCTACACGCCTGTCCATAACAGGTGCAGTGCCACTTAGAGCTTTAAATTGCAAAGATCTGAGTGGCACTGCCACTGCACCCGTCACCCTGAGACATAAGTTGACAAGTCCCATGTGCCTGTAATTTCACCAGCACCCTTAACCCTTCAAAACCGGAACGCAGTAATGCTAACATTACTGCTTGGCGGCAAAAATAGTTAAGGTGGCAGTACTTCCCTGGACGAACTCTTTCACAAGAAGCTCTTACTGCTACTGTACTCGCGTGTGTGTGTGCAACGCTTGTATGTGAATGTGTGTTAAGGTTGAGCTCTCTCAATGGATAAAATTGACTGCTTTGAACGTTTCCATGTTTTTGAAGCCCACTGTACGTGTATTATTTGTACCCAAGTGTTATTGACTAGTTTTTTTAAATATTTGATGGCTAAGTGATAAATGTTCACTATTATCAAGTATAACACAAGCTTTTTTTCAGGTGTATGGAGGATGCCTGTGCTACGGCCCGCCAATAGAAGAAGGGTTCTATTACGATATGTATTATCCTGATAAAGGGGTAAGTTTAATGTTGTATTTAAATAATGCAGAATTATCAAAGATCGGAATTGACATATTTACCTAACCTTCAAGGAATACATGGAGACCCCTCAAATCCCTCATAAATCCTGAGATTATTAAAAATGAAAGGCAAAAAATCTAAGTTATATTTTTACTTACAATTACAAACTTTCTAGATCCACACTATGGGGGTGTACAACAAGACAGATTGCCATTTTTAAGAGTTGCGTACATCATTTTATACCAATTACCAACTGCTTCTGGTTTCCAGATTTCATCATCAGATTTCCACGTCTTAGAAGGTCTAATAAAGAAGATAGCAAAGGAGAAGCAGCCGTTTGAGCGGCTGGAACTCACTAAGGAGCAGTTGCTCGAAATGTTCGATTACAATCCTTTCAAAGTGCGAATCTTGAAGGAGAAAGTTGATACACCTACCACTACGGTGTACAGGTAATTCTTAACTACAATCATCTAGCAAAATTTATTTATGACCTTTTACAAATATTAATATCATCTTTTGTAAAAATACTCCATATAATGGCCCCAGCATGGCAACAGATACTGCTTCGAATCCAGTCAGATCGAAGGAATTTTTCGTTGTGTTGTTCAGTTTTTGCATCAATAATCAAAACTACATTTAAATTGGAACTTGAAGACTGGGTTCTTCAATTTTTCTCTATATCTTTGTACTTTTTCGGCTAATGTCAAAGAATAGCGCGCTAAACAAAAAACAAACTGTCAGAAAAACTTACAAAGTAATTAGCATATAGTTCCTATAGGAAACGGCCTGCAAGTTAAGGAGGATCACAACCGATCATCTCTTCTATTTTAGATTCGCAGAACGCGTGAGCAAAAGCTTATGATCGGTCAAATGCTTCTCAAAGATTTCTTGCTCGATCCCAACACAATTAAATTTTTTGTTTTTATATACAGGGTGTCCCACTACTATGCGACACGGAGGGAAAGTATTTAAAATATTGTAGATAGGATATTAGTTTAAAAGTAAGTAATATTGCATTCAAAGATTTTTGAAAAAGTTTCTTGCCTCATTTGAGACTCAAACTCATCAAATGTGAAAAAAAAATCGGTGTTTTCATGGTGCTGATTGTAGGGGGCAATTATAAGGATTAATTCCTTTAAAGTATAGTATATTCAGTATGGATTGAGAATTTGCATACAAGAAATAAATTATAAAATTGTAAAATTTAACGATGTTTCTTTGATTTACGATACTACGTTACTTAAAAGGAATTAAATTTTATAATTGACTCTTTCGAAAGAAAAAGAAAAAATCTTTGAATGCAGTATTACTTACTTTTAACAAAACATGACAATGTTTCTATAACATACAATATGTACTTTAAGTACTTTCCCTCCATGTCCAAAATTACAACTTTTCAGGAGATTTTTTTATAGCTCTAATAGAAGAGCTATAAAATTTCATATTGTTTCATTTTCATGTGCTTTATAAGGGTATGATGTAAAAAACGTAATTCTCTTACAGATGCGGCCCATTGATAGATTTGTGTAGAGGACCCCATGTTCGGCATACGGGCAAAGTTAAAGCTTGCAAAGTTACTAAGGTAATTTATTTATATTTTGCCATAAAACTAAACTTACGCAAATTAGACATTCTCCTTTTTTGGCACTGAATTTAAAAGGGTAAGTATATATTGTTTTTGTAAATTTCTTGCCTTAGCAAAAAATACATTTAGTGTTGCCAATAAATATAACGGAAGACCGTTAAAATGAACGATTAATGAATTAATATAAATGAATTAATTGAAGAAATACAATGTTTATATCTAGAAACCGATTTTCTACCCGATTGGTTAATTTCTCTATATAATTTTTTTTTCTCTTAATTTATATAAAAAATGTTCTCAAAGTTTTTGTTATTCCCAGAATTCGGCAACGTACTGGGAGGGCAAAGCTGACGCGGAATCTCTTCAAAGAGTTTACGGAGTTTCTTTCCCGGAGCCCAAACAACTCAAAGAGTGGGAGACCATACAGGAGGAGGCTGCTAAGAGAGATCATCGTAAGATTGGCCGAGTAAGTTTTTCAAATCTTTCAATACAACGAACTGTCTAGGACGATAATCCTTACATATGTTATCTATAGTCTGACTTTCTTGAAGATAGAGTAAAATGACAGTTCATTGCGCGAAAGTATTGCCCGCTTGCAAGTAAATAATATGTGAAGGAAAACATGACGAAACTTGCATATCGAAGATGGTGCACAACCCTCGGAAAAAGTTGGAAGTTCCCAACCCACATGGGGTCAGCGTGCCCACTATACCCTCGCGTGAGAGGAGACCTGTGTCCAGCAGTGGGACGTGTAAATAGGTTGATGAGGACTCTCTGTACAATATACAGTGTAATAAAGAAGATACCATTGTTCTAGGAACAAGAGCTGTTCTTCTTCCACGAACTGTCACCAGGGTCATGCTTCTTCCAACCGCGAGGCGCCCACATATACAACACCCTCGTCAACTTCATACGGGAACAATACAGGTACCAATTATTAATACAAAGATCGAACACTTGGAAAAAAATTCCTTCGACCGGGCCGGATTCGAAGCGACGTCTTCTAGCATACCGTGGCAGACGCTATGCCAACTAAGCAACGGAACGAACCAGCGGACCTCACGAATTTTTTCATGTACTTGTTGTTGTATCTGGTTTTTAACGGCGTTTTAGCCGTAGGGCCATCTATGAGAAGTAATTTGACGAAAAATAATTGAATATCATGGTGGTGGAATATCTTGACATTCAATAAAACACATAATTACAGTGAATAGCGACATCTCTGCCAGGGCTGGTAGCTATAAAGGTGCCTAACTGAGTGACGAAATACTTTCATAGCCCCGCACTAGGGAAACCCTGTGTCGCTGGTGCCATGGACACACACATAGACAACCACAAATGACACCCAAACTCACAAGAGAAATAAATGTAGGCCATAGAAATATAGTGGCAGTCCGACATGGTAACCTTTCAGCCACGGAGGCAATAAAAATGTTGTCTATAACTTGAAAATATTAGCATATATTTAGGAACCATTTTCAAAAAGTTTATTAATATTTTAAGGGTAATAAACGTAATGTTATAATTATTAATTTTTAAAACTTAGGTTCCGTGGCTACCAAGAAGTGGTATCCCCAAACATGTACAACGCGAAGCTGTGGCAGACCTCGGGCCACTGGGCGCACTATGCGGACAATATGTTCTCCTTCGACGTGGAGAAGGAGACCTTCGCATTGAAACCAATGAATTGTCCTGGACATTGGTAAGTGAAAGTCGTCTCGAAACTATACTATGTACTTTTAGGCATTGAAAAGAATGTAAAAAAACGATAGCTGTCAAAAATGACAGAGCCGTGGGTGTTCGTTATAATTATTTTAGTAAATTTCTAAAAACGTTTATCGTATCAATAATTTATAGGTTTCAAGAAAGTAATAACACGGATATGTAAATTTATTGCCGCTGCACTGACATGGAATTTATTACGCAGTATACATCTTTTCATTAAAGTCGAAGACTTTTTATCGATACACCTCATCTCTAGCAAATGCAGTAACCATAGCACGATGTCGTAAAAAAATTATGCATTTTTGAAAAAATGAAAAAAATATTGAGATTTTTGTGAAGTAACTCCACTAGTTTTGTTATGTTTATGAATAGAAAAATCGAAAACACGTCCATGCTGCATGACAAAAAATTTTTCTATGTTCGACCTTTCTATTCATAATTATAACAAAACTGGTGGAGCTATTTCACAAAAAATGTCAATAAATACATTTGATCGATAAGAGACGTCTGCGTCAGTTGTGATACCTGTAAAGGTATCGGCTGCCGTGAGAAGGTTATTTAAAAAATCTCTCTAGATGTCTCTTCTTCTCTTTCGTATCACTCTTGCCAGAGTGGTCGCGGTTATCACGGAGTACGTTTGTGAATGTTAATATGGCTTGCCTCACGACATCTCGCCATCTCTCTCTGTTAGTGGACTCCCTCGTGCACTCATGTAAAGGACCGCCTACTACAGATTTTATTTGATCGGTCCATCGAATGAGTGACCTTCCGCGCATTCCCTCCACTCTGCCTTGCATAACAAGACGCTCTATGGAGTCAAAATTCCGTCTTGAGAAGTGACCGAAGAATTTTAGGATGCGAGTTTGCACCACTGTGTCGAGTTCTTGGAGCATGGAGGCGTTTGAACGAAAGGCTGTCCACGATACCCCAAGCATTCTTCTCACCACATTTCCAGAGCGTCTATCTTCTCAATTTCACAGAGCGCCCATGTCTCTACAGCGTACAGATGTCACAAGCGGCGACGAATGCCGAAAGTCCGTACAAAGATACATATCGAAAACATATAGGAGAATTTCGACTACTCGGTAACTGGACCCGTGGCTTCAGACGTGGCATGGACGTGGTTTCAGGTCCCACCGGATCGAGGACATTTTTCTATGTGTTTTTCGATTTTTGTATTCATAATTATAAAAAAGCAGTAGGACAGTATGGGCTCATAATAAAAATAATAAAATCATAAAAAATATTTTTCCGTTAATTTCTCACAGATGAACATTATTTGGTGTTATTTAATGTATTTACTTAAACAATCTAATATGTAGATTATTATGAACTGTCACAGGGATCATCCTAGATTTTGGGTATAGTCAGAATCATCGAGTGTATAACCAGAAATAGACACGAAATATCATTTCATTTCTTTGAAAACTATTCTGCCGTATCATTACTGTGACAACTGCGCTCCGATTGGCCAGCTCGAATTTGAAACAATTGACGGGTGTCGTCAATTGTTTTACTTCAAATTCACCAGTTAACTTGAGCTTTGCTGTAATGGGCGAAAATTGCAAAATTACGTATTTAATATTTAATTACCGATGAAATTTGATTCCGTTTGTTTTGTAATTAGATGTTTTTCCCCACTCCACTGAATTAAACAGCACGCCATTGTTAGAGACATTATCATTATTACAATAAATACAGAATATTTTTAGAATATGCGGAGACGTACACACAAGTCAGTTGTTGGCGCTGTACTATTTCAGCTTTCTAATTTGTAATTTCAGTGCAAACGAGAGTTGATATTTATAAGTGATATATCACAGATGAGTTACCAAGAATGTGTGGCCCTTATTTCGTCTCTATTTCTGGTTATATACTCGATGGTCAGAATGCTCGGTGTATTTGTATTTGATTGAAACCAAACACCAACGAACTGATATCAAGTTTCATTTTTGGAGCTGAAAATGTTTTTACTCTCCAGCTTAATGTTTGACCACCGCACCCGATCGTGGCGTGAACTTCCACTCCGCATGGCGGACTTCGGCGTGTTGCATCGCAACGAACTCAGCGGAGCCCTGACCGGTCTTACGCGAGTACGACGATTCCAACAGGACGATGGACATATATTCTGTACGCCACAGCAAATTGAACAGGAGATGGTAAGCACACTAAAAATATGAATTTTATTATTGAGAGAAAAATTGTCATAATAAAAATACTACAAGGGAGGATATGAATTGTTACAATTTCGTCTTTTCACGAGTTAGTAATATGAGCATTATTGCGTTCCGGTTTTGAAGGGTAAAGGTGTTGGTAAAATTACTGGCACGTGGGACTGGAGACAGGTCATGGATAAATAATATCATTGGGATAAATACTTAGGATAAATATCCATTTGTACTCGATATTTATCCAAAAATATGGATAAATAATCGTGGTTTATTATTTATATTTAGTAAAACAAAGTATATTTTTAAAACACTTTGTGTACCTACACAATTATAAACATTTATTTTTTTATATCATGTGTTTAATTAATAGATTTTGTGTGTGAAATATTTCAAGTCCAAATGTGGCTTTATTAAGTATCTTGTAGAGACCCCAAGACCATAAAGTTGGGCCGCACTTTATTAATGCTCGTGCGCAGGTCAACTCAAGGATTACATTTAATTTGATAGGTTTCTGTCAATCGAATTTTTTATACCACTCGACTCGAAAAATGTAGGTAGAACAGTATTATTACATAAAAGAATGGCAAAAACGTAATTATTTAATAAAAATGAATTCTAATGAATTTTGTTATAAAAACGCACAAAAAATAATGTAATCCATGTTTTAGGATAAATACTCAGTAAAAACGGATATTTATGGGATATTTATCGGGTAAAAACCCATCTCTACATGTAAACTTATATATCAGGGCGCAGTGGGAGTGCCCCTCAGATCTTAGCGACCCTCAGACCTTAGCGATTTAAAGTTCTGAGTGGCACTGCAACTGTTATGGACAGGCGTGTCGCTTTCCACCAGGCGCACGACTTGTTCGTTCCGTCATTAGATATCGTAAAGATAAAAAAGATTAACAACAGTAAAGAACATTGTTTTATCCAGGTCTATTGTCTAACCAAAGACACGATAAATATTGTTTTAAAAACCAATAGGGCTTAGAGACTCGTTAAGTAATTCACACAACATTCATTCGCTCATACGTACACTCCTTCACACATCCACTCATTCCTACATTCACTCGTTCATACTTTTTCCTCGTACAGTCATTCACCCGTTCATTCGTTCATTCCTTCCTAAATTTTGTCAAGTAAATTCACACTAGCTTTTCGAGTGACATTTTGCCCGTAGTGTAATTCCCTTGGTCATTGTTATTTTTCATCACGTTTTCTTGTAAGTAGCAATAAGTGCAGGAAAACTAGGCCCTAGGGTAGTAATGGTTTTTATATGTTAAAATTTATTCGCTCCCATCGCCCGGACAAACTACGGGGTCGGCCACCGCCACTGTCGCGTCCCCGAAGGCCTGAAGTGGACTTATTTATTTTATTTATTAAAACTAATTACAGTCAACTTAATTTAATTTATAATTTATAAGATGCATACTCAAACATAAATTTAAAATTAAGTTAATATATTTTGTTTCGTTATTTGTTTATTAATTATATGGGCAACAAAACAGATGACAATGAAATTACATTGATAAGAGTTAAATATAATATAAGTTATGTACTTCATTTTAACCCTATTTATATTGATACATCATTATAAAGTAACAGGAAAGATCTTCTGTTCACAATTTACTAATAATTTACTTACTTAATAAATATGCCGACTAATTTTAAATAACAAAAACGAAATAGGTTTGGTTGAATACCTATGTAAGCATTAGACGAGCATATGTAAGTGTTAAAAAGCAAATAGACGAAGCAATAAGAAAACAAACTAGTGGAGTAATTATACAAAAATAATTTGAATATCATGGTAGTAAAATATCGTGATATTCATTCAATTTAACGTTACAATAAGATTTCATGTTTAATTGTTTTTTGTATAAGTTTTTTCTGCTGTAATTAAAATTGGCTTAATATAAATTATAATATGAATGAAATAAAACGTTTTTAAATTTTATTTTACATTTTTTAATTGATAAAGAATATTGTATACCACACGGTCGGAATATCAATTACAAACGTTTAAGCCATTAAAATGTTGCTGTAACCATTTGGTAATTGCCTTACCGTTCTTGTAACAATGTACAATATTTGCGGTTTGCAATTGAAGTATTATTTATGGGATATCCGGATTATTTCCCTTGCCAAGTTATAACACAAAAATTAAGGCTGGAATTTCTCTCTCTTGAAAAATTGTATTATTGTATGTTTTCAGGTGGCATGCCTGGAATTCCTGGAGCACGTATACTCGACTTTTGGATTCACCTTCCAGCTGAATCTCTCGACCAGGCCAGAGAAGTATCTCGGTGACATTGAATCCTGGAATCAGGCTGAAAAGGTTGGTTGCAAAATGGTCTTCGACATGCAGGTTCTATCGCGATGTTTTCCTTTTCTATTAATTTAATTTCTGACTTTGGATTAATTACTTTCATTTAACTACCTACATGGCCGCTTACCCTGCTGGTCTTCCACGCAGAGGTCAGGGTTCGATTCCCGAGCCCGGAGAAATATTTGCATGATCTACTTTTTTTCCACTCGTGAGTTTGGGTGGAATTTTTGGAATTGGTGGAATGTGTGTGTCCATGGCACCCGCCATTGAAGGTTTCCCTAGTGCGGGGTTGTGAGTGTGTACGTTATTATTATTATTATTTTCAGTGTCGTGGCAGTTTTTACCTTTTAACCATTCTTGTGTACATGCTCAGAATCTTATTGTTTAGTATGGAGTGTTGTACCATTATACTCAAAACTGATGTCCTTTGAGATGCATGTACAGACATATGCTTGGCATATTGTGGGTACAAAAGGTCACCAATGTTGAGGTTCTTCGAATATGAAAAATGTTGGAAATACTCAGAACTGTAAAGGAAAGGAAGCTGCAGTATTTTGGCCACGTAATAGGAGGCAATACATAACGGATTCTTCAACTAATGCAGGGGAAAGTCCAAGGAAAGCGTAGTCGTGGTAGAGGGAAAACCTCGTGGTTGAAGAATCTGAGAGACTGGTTCCGCCTTAGCGCACGTCCCTTCTTCCGTACGGCAGCTTCAAAAATGAAAATAGTCATGACGGTCGTCAACTTTCGTAGAGAAGCGGCCAGAAGCATCACGAATGTTCGTATCGAGTATATAACCAGAATTAGAGACAAAATAAGGGCCATCCATCCCTGGCAACTCATCAGGCAAATGCACTTTATATCGCTTTTAAATATCAACTCTCGTTTGCTCCGAAATCACAAATTAGAAAGCTGAAATAGTACAGCACCAACAACTGACCTGTGTGTACGTCTCCGTGTATTCCAAAAATATCCTGTGTTTATTATAATAATGATGACATCTCTAACAATGGTTAGTGGGGTAAATGTTCCATCCACGTGTGGGAAAAGCAGCAAAACATCTAATTACAAAACAAATGTAATCACATTTCATCGGTAATTACATATTAAATACGTAAATTTTCAATTTTCGTCCATTACAGCAAAGCTCAAGTTAAACTGGTCGATTTGAAGTGAAACCATTGACACCCGTCAATTGTTTCGAATTTGGGCTGGCCAGTTGGAGCGCAGTTGTCACAGTAATGATATAGCAGAATAGTTGTCAAACTAATTAAATGACATTTTGTCTCTATTTCTGGTTATATACTCTATGGATGTCGCTGACGATACGAGGGTTTCAAACAATTGAAGCACCAATGTTGTTGCTTAGCATAATCAAATCGCTCTTGAGGCAAATACAAATATCCTTTATTGCCACAATGACACAAATAACATGTCAAGCCAAACATAAACAAACAATAAACGCCAAACATGTCAGAAGGCAAAAGGAGGTGTCTCAGCTTGTGCTGTCTGGAAACGTTGTTGTCGCAGACAGCGCTGTTTTTCAGCCAACCATTTGTCTAAAAGATCTTAGGCGGGCTTAAAAGCAACGAGCGCCTAAAAATAATTATAAAATTGGAAGAACTATTATTCAATATTATTTAATAATTCAATATTATTATGCATATAATAGGGGAAGATAAATTAATTGTAACGAAAAAAAGACTTTTTTATGTAAACATTGTACACTGACTTATAGAATGACCTCTTTCTCCATTCTGACCACAGAATGAATAACTTTACGTAGACAATGATATGTGTGAGGAATTAGAAGGCCGTTCTAAAGTGTCAATGGAAGATGTACTTACCTCTCTTGTTAACAAAGCTGATTGAGGTGAAGAGGGAAGTAGGAGAGCTTGCAGACGAAATGGAAACGAGTGTACTTCTCGACGATTCGTTTATTACTAACTGACTATACACCTTTCACTACATAATATACTTAACTAGAACTATAATACATGATGAATGTATTCGATTTTTTTTGTAGTTGTATTTGTGAGAAGGCTTTTCCACGTGATGACTTCTATCAAGCACTCGAAGCTTTTCGGATGTTTGAAATTTCACGTTTGTGGCGAAACGAGTGTCACGGACTAGAGCATCACGTTGGGAATAAAGAATGTTTTTTGATGAAGTATACGTGAGAGGCACACTACATGATTTCATCTGGGGCCTTACCGTGAACTCTTATTACGATTCACTTCAGGATATAAAATGAATCGTTGTGAGACAGTGCTACATGAAGTGTAATATCACCATCCCGTTTTTTTGTCCTTACGAACCTATACTAAACTGTAATAAGACTTCACGTTAAGGCCCCAGTTCAAAAGTACGACGTCGCGGAAGTGTACAATGTTTGATACTTGGGTGTTGCCTCCTCACTACACATGCGAGATTTTTCACAAGCGACCTGAAAAAGGCTGGCTTTCAAAGTTACAAGTACAGTTTTTCCAAATTTTATTTTAAGTATATTATGAAGAAAATATGAAGATAGAAATAGTGATCAAGAAAGTTAGAACTATATTCCTTATTTCAAACCAAACTACAAGAGTTTATCCTGAAAAGTCCAATAATTACGAATCATAGTTTTTGTTCAAAGTGACAATAATGTGAAATAATGAAAGTGAAAACATAAATATTGACTCCCGCCGCCTAAAAGACTATTTAGAAAGCCCAAACAAGAGAACTAAGTTATTTAAGAGAAAATGAAAACATAATGTTGTAGAACCGCACACTGGAAATTATTTAATGAGAATCCCGATAATTAAACGAAGACATGACTCAAAGGACTTGTGTCCAAGCCAAAACTCTTAATTAAATTAAATAACACAAGCGGTCTGTCAACTACAAAATTGAAGACGGAAAGTCATATTACAAAATTGACGACTAAGTGTTAGATAAAAATGTATGGAAAGACGACATGGCTCTAGATTCCACACAAATTTGATTCAAAGTGTATTCCATAGCATTTAAGTTTATTTGAAAAGAGCAATCCCTAGAGTTTCTTGCTCGTTCTTCTCAGGAAAGTCAGCGTAGTGAACGAGCAGTAGCGTAAATGTGACGTTTTCAAGTGTACATTTATTTTATCTATTGAATTTTCGAATTTTATCTTGAATTTGACGTTATCTCTTTTCACCCAAGTTAGAATTGAAACTGTTTCAGGCGTTGGAAGACTCGTTGAACAAGTTCGGGCGGCCGTGGCAGCTGAGCCCTGGCGACGGCGCTTTCTACGGGCCCAAGATCGACATCGCCATCCAGGACGCGCTGCGCCGCTCGCACCAGTGTGCCACCATACAGCTGGACTTCCAGCTGCCGGAGAGATTCAATCTCACTTACGTCAGGTATTTTTTTTATGGGATAATAATATTCGATCCTCAAAGGTAATAAACGATTTTTTTTATGTCTGAGAATATATATTAACTGTTCCGTCTATATTAGTTGATCTACGGATAAATTATAAATGAACTGCGTTCAAGGTAACCCTATCATTGTGTTTAAGCATTCTAAATTAATTAATTTTTTATTGAATTGATATTCAATTATTTTTTGTGAAATTACTCCACTAGTTATAATTATTAATACAAAGATCGAACACTCAGAAAAAATTCCTTCGATCCGGTCGGATTCGAACCGACGTCTTCTTGCATACCGTGCCAGACGCTATACCAACTAAGCCACGGAACGAACCAACGGACCTCACGAATTTTTCTATGTGCTTGCGTCGTGTCTTTGTACTTGGTCTTTCAACGACTTTTTAGTCGTAGCGCCGTCTATGAGAAATCTATTACAGGTTTATTCACTGTATCAATTCAATAAAAATTTAATTAATACAGTGAATAGCGACATCTCTCGCCAGGACTGGTAGCTGTAAAGGTACTAACTGGGCGATACGGTTATCACGGTGAAATACGGCATCTTTACGATGCTTCAGTTCTAGGCATTTTTCGTGAATTATATACTAATAAAGCTATGGGGATGTACTGTACATATTTCGTCAAGATAATGCCAAACTGTTTACAATCACACATTTTAGTTTTTACTTACTTTACGCCCTACTTTCCGCGGCCGTTTGTTTACCTGTGCACGTCAATAGACAATTAATGTAGGTTAACCAAAATTCGTGGATAATAACAACTTAAAAGAACTCGGCCTCGTCTAGCTTGTATCCTTACCATAAACTATTTTCTTATTTAACTCATCTATTTAAACAATTAGGAGTCAATACTATAGCGTAGTATTGGCCCCAGCAGCATCGTTTTGGTCCTTCAAGCCGGTTTGAACCTGCGACCTATGGACACACGTTTACAAAGTCATCAAAAACTATTGCATGTACAGGTTGAGATGCACTACCTCATCCAACGTATTCGTTCGATAAGCCCCTTCAGATTTTCACTTGTTTCGGTTGTTACAAGATTATTTGTACAGACACAACTTTGATAAGGAAAAGATCATCAAAGAACACTTAAAGCTATATTCTTTAAGTAAAGACGGTTTTTTTATGAAAGCTGAATTCTAGAAGTACCTAAAATATAGCAAAAGATTGTAGATCAACATGGCCAATAAATAATACATTAATATTTGACATATACATATATTTTTAAACGTTTTACGTTTATCTTTTATATTTTTTAAAACTGATGAATATAAACTTTATTTTGTAATTTGTTTAATTGTTATTGCATGAGTATGTAAGTTAGCACGTTTTTCTACCAATTTATGCAATTAAGTTAGTTTTTGTTTAACATGATAGGACACCAGTTTTTTTGTCTGTTGTTTTTGCTCCATTATATTATATTTTTACTTAAATTTACCTGAACTCCTTTGTCGCAGATAAAGCCGAAAGGACTTTTGTAAACGCCGCTTGTAACTAGTAAATAACTATTTTTTCTGTATTTTGGTCAATAAAAAAAAACTTGGGTACCAACATAATACATAACGTTAAAGACGTCCAAGACAGTAGCATCAATAACGTATTATTTATGTCTTATTCAGTGAAAGCGGCGACAAGAAACGCCCTGTAATCATCCACCGCGCGATCCTCGGGTCCGTGGAACGGATGATCGCGATTCTCAGTGAATCGTACGCGGGAAAATGGCCCTTCTGGCTCAGTCCGAGACAAGTATGCGTCGTGCCTGTTGGTCCAGCGTTCGACGACTACGCTCTACAGGTGAGTTTACTTTAAGAGCGTTTATTTATTTATTTAATAAGGTACACTTTTCTAATTAACTTAAATATTTTTTTATTTGTAACACATAACCCATCAAGGAGTACATAACATTCATTAATTAATAAACAATTTGAATTTAAAGATAAAAGATAAATACAAGTACAAGTAAAATAAATGTCTAGGAAGTCATGATAGTATTATCATAATTGAATTTTTTAAATTATTATACAATTTTCATAAAGCTATACAATTAAATCTTAACACAAAAAACGACAAGGGAAAAAAGTACAATTATGTAGTGTAGTTTATATAGATACTTCTGGCTTTTTTTCAACCCCCAGACAGCATCAACACCCCCCAATTGCTTCCGAGATCCCTACCTAAGACTCTACAGCGCCCTATGGGGACCATTAGTAGTAGGGACCACTTTGGGAAACTATGACTTAAACTAAGTAAATTAGTACCATTTTAGGTATCTTGTTTGTACATTCTTTCTTTATATTAGTGTAATATATATAAGAGATTAGCTATATTTATTTAACAATAAATGAATTATTTGTAATAATCTCTGTCCAGAGTACTAAAAAACCGTCCTTAAAAGTCATTTATCCCCTAGTTTGCTACCCTTCAAGGTGGAATATTTTGTTCAAATGGGACCACATCTGAGGTACCCTCTTTCCAACAAAAAAAAGAATCATCAAAATCGGTTAACGAATGCTGGAGTTATCGCGTAACATACATCCAAAAAAACATACAGTCGAATAGACATCCTCCTCCCTTTGAAGTCTAGTAACTTTCGAATAGACATCCTCCTCCCTTTGAAGTCTAGTAACTTTTGAGCCGGACACGATACAGGACGGGATTCTTTTAGGTTAGATTAGTTTTTAAAAAAAAGAAAATATCATCAGGTGTGAAAATGGCCTCATTTGTGTGAAAATGAAATAAACTAATTGTAATAGATATAACAACGTTCATGTAATATATATATATATATATATATATATATACACTTAGAATAATAACGCATAGAAACCTAGTCCGCACACGCCAAGTGAGGCAAATTGAAGCGCGCCAAAAGGGCCTACACGAGCGGGCGGGCCTTCAGTGCTCAAGGTCAACTTGCACCGCGAATAGATCAAGAATTTTAGCTAAAAATGACGAAATGTGCGGTAAATGAGTGTAAAAATACGTCACACAAACATAAAATAGATACTAAAATCACATCCACAAGGAAGTAACGCGTTTCAACTTGTGTTTTTATATAAATATTCACTAAAACCGAAAATTAACCTACTACTGAAACTAGCCTACATGAATTTGATTTTTGCCTCACTTGTGACAGTTCGTTTGATATGAAACTATCATTCTATGCGTTATTATTCTAAGTATATATATATATATATACAACATCACATACATTGCTCTGGTCCCAAAGTAAGTAGCTAAAGCACTTGTGTTATGAAAATCGGAAACAACGACGGTACTACAAACACCCAGACCCGCGACAATATACAACAGTTAGTTTTCGACACTGACCCGGCCGGGGATCGAACCCGGGACTTCTAAAGATGGCGACTTCATGAAAACCGGTATGCAAGCGACTCTACCACAGAGGCAGTCAAATAGTATGATTTTCACTTGGTCTCAATACTTCCTATAACGTCTTAATTTCATATAATTGTCGTTAGTAATAATAACATTCACATTTTATAAGAGCATTTTATATAAAGCTCTTTTTGTATAACAATCATTATATGTATTGTCAATTCAGATAATTTTCACGAGATATTTACCTGTAGCTGTGTATGTTTCCGAAGAAATTTTAGATCAAATTCACTTCGGTTGAATGATCTACTTAGTTATGAAAACTGAGGCTTATGACATATAATTGTTATTTAATATTAAATGGAATTATTTTGAATGAGCGTTGGGTTAAAAATATTTATATGATACATTACACACTCCTCCCTCCACATGGTTAGGTAAGTCATTAATATGAATAAAAATATAAATGGACCTAGAACTGAACCTTGAGGAACGCCCATTCTAATTGCAGACCGTGATGATCTCGTACCGATGACTTCGACCCTCTGTACCCTGTCATTCGAATATACATGCCATGATGTATTGTTCTATATATGTTTATTTCTTTGTTCTATTGGTTTTTATTATTTTGTTGTTGTGTTTTGGAAGTGTAATAAATGTATTTTGTATTGTTTGTTGTCAGGTGAACGCGAAGCTGTCCGAGGCCGGGTTCATGTCGGAAGCAGATACGGATGCCGGCGACACGCTGAACAAGAAAGTGCGCAACGCACAGCTCGCGCAGTTCAACTACATCCTTGGTAAGTAATCGTTTCATGTTCCAACCAATTTTGAACTTTTGTAAGGTTCGAGTCCTGGATTTTCTCGAGATTTCCTATTGAATTTGTTTATATGCTAGCGGAACAGAGAATTTTGTTCGAGACCAGAAGACAATGTGATAAAATTAATGATGACAAAATAAGTTCCTTATAAGAATGATTTTATTGTATTGGAAGAAAAGAATCGGGACAGCGAAAGTTGGTGAAATGTTATTAATTTTGTATGAAAAAACATTTTTTGAAATTTGACCAACTTCTGTTGTCCCATTTTTTTCGTCCATGTTATTTTCGTTCGTATTTCTTCATGAAACTGAGTCAAACAGTACTGAAAAAATGTTGATCAGTTTTATTCATTTTTATGGACAACTCACGCTTGACCAAAAGTTTGACTACCAAATTATTACTGTCTTAATAATAAATATTTATTATTAAGACAGTTTCCTTGTATCTTCTATGGTTTCGGATTTCCCCATACTGTCTCATTTAAAAAAACACCTGTATAAGCCGCGTATCCATGTAGGGCGTGACGTTGCACAATAATACACGTAGTACACGAGATTTTCACTATTAGTTAATATTACTATATTATAATTAGACTTTACTTTTACAGTGGTAGGTGAACGCGAGAAGAGCTCTGGAACTGTGAATGTCCGTACACGAGACAACAAAATTCACGGGGAGATGTCTATACAAGCTTTGGTGGACCATCTCAACACTTTGGTTAAGGAGAAGACACTGTCTGAAGACAGTCAGCTGTTGAACTCAGGATAAGAAAGGATTTCGCCGAATATTCAAGCCCCAATTCTGCTAATTTTCTCTCTTGAAATCAATGGGACTCCACTGAGATTATAATTGCAGTTATGACAATATTAGACTATGTAGTGGCTTGCACACCGGTTTTCATGGTGTCGCCATCTCTGAGGTCCCGAGTTCGATCCCCAGCCGGCTCAATGTAGAAACTAACTTTTCTATATTGTCTCGGGTCTAGGTGTATTTGGTACTGTGGTTGTTTTCGATTTCCATAACACAAGTGCTTTAGTAACTTACATTAGGACCAGAGCAACGTATGTGATGTTGTCTAATATTTATTTGTTATTCTGCTAAAATCTAGTTGCAATGGCAGTTGAGGTTCAATAGAGTCTCAGGGAAGTGGCAGTGATGGCATTCATTCATATAGGTACACGGAATTATACCCGCCGTGTACCCGACCCGACACGCGCCCGACCCGCACCCGCTGTCAGTGTGTTTAACGATCGATGTGGTCCTACTAAAACTTTTTTTTGAGGCGGCGTTTCCTACCGGAGGTCGGCTATCATTAGGGTTATCTGTATTTTAGACACAGCTAAACGGAACAAGGATCTTGTGCTCAGGTTGAACCATGTCCGGAGATTCTTAAGCCACTAAGTACGCCTTCCAGGCGGTCGTTTTCCCTGGAATTTTTCTTGTGAAATTAATCGGAGCAGGTCGTATGTTTATCATTAATAATAATAATAATATTTCGAAGGCGATTGCTCAATTTTGAGTTTAGTTCCAGGACTCTACGCTATATAGAAGAACCTATAACACGTAGTAACGTGTTAAACGCATCCTGGTAGAGATGTACAAGGTAGTGGTACCTTACCAAAAATACCATATACAAAATAATTGCAATAGCAGTTGAATAGTACCTCGACGGTTAACCACTGACAAGCCACCACTCTTAACTTTTAGTTGAATACCAAACGTACCAAATCCTGCCATTGACACTAGCGACACACAACTAAAATGATTTAAAATTAGCAGACTTGGTGCTCAGATGTTTCGTTTATGCACCGATTCTACAGTTTTTTTTATACAATAAGAAAACAGCCGGAACCACAAAAACCCTTTAAAATATACCCGCACCTATCCTCTATCCTGTATCACAAATAATTATAACTTTTTAATAATAAAAAAACCGACTTCAAAACTTTGTTGTCCGCTTTCGCTGTGTTGAAGTCTCATCATGCTGTATACTGTTGAGGTGGTCCATTGAAATCGGCTCACGAATGCCGAAGTAGTCGCGTAACGTACTCATAAATAAAATAAAAAATAACTAAGGTTACTCCTAAGGGTACTCCTTTTTTGAAGTCGGTTAATAAATAAATTTATGGCTGTGGTCTCTACCTACTCCAATAGCAAAAGGGCGTCAAGTGTATGTGTCAAATTCAAATTCAAAATAATCTTTATTTCATAGGTAAGCATTATTACACTTGAAATCGTCCCAATGGTTAAACTCTACCGCTCATTCGTAAGGCAGATTCCCCTGAGAAGAATGAGCAAGAAACTCTAGACTCTAGGGGTTGCTCTTTGTAAATAACATTTACAATATGAAATAATGGTATGAAAATTATGTGTATGAAATTATGGTACATATAAATTATGGGTTTACGAATTTTGACACTAAATAATATTTCACCCTTGATATATCTGGTCATAAAGAGCTTTTTTTTAAAAAAATTCACCATTATGAGTTGTATATTTTATTTGTCAACCTGAACATATAACGTCAAGGTAAAAAAAATCGCTTTGCTTCATTATTTTAGCTGCGTCCACGCAGACGACAATTTAAAGGTGGACGCATATCCGCGCCGTCCTGATAAAAAATGTATTCTATGGATATTTTTAGTTATAACGTAGGTTGAAAGGCAAAAGGGGTTAAGTGACATTTGAGATTAAAAATGAGTTCGTTAATGTAAAGATAAAAAGTAGCGTATTAGACGTTCTTGTAGCTCTGTATCCTTTCATCACGATGGCAGGCATGTCCCTCACATGGCGGCTACTACTAGACTCACGGGTAGCGGCTATAACTTCTTGAGCCACAGTAATAAAGTGTATGCCATCGATACGAAAGGAGAAGATAAAAAGTCTAAAACGTATAACATTTAAGCGTGAAACACACAGACAGCGGGTACGGGTCGGGCGCGAGTCGGGTCGGGCGCCAGTCGGGCCGGGCGCGAGTCGGGTCGGGCGCCAGTCGGGTCGGGACAGCGGCGGGTCTAATTCCGTGTAATTTATATGGACGACTCTCGCTCGCTCTCTTTGTTTCACGCTTTAACTAACAGCAGTTAATTAAGGATCAAAAAAGGTGTTTTTTGATCCTTCAATCACTGCCGTTAGTTAATGATTCATTCGATTATTGACACTCGTAACGGACAAATCAATGCAGAAAAAATCTAACTAAATCGTCGGGGATAGTGCAATTACTCGTAACTAGCATTTTATTATGAGTCTCCATTTCGGTAATTTAGAGGCCAAATCAAAACCGCGTAAATGTCGTAGCAACCAAATTACCGTGGTTTACGGGAATCTATTGTTATCAGTCCGTAGACAACATAAATTAATGCTTACTGTGCAAAAATGAAAATCGTAGCCATTGAAATAAAGTAATAACGTTAAATCTCTCTCTTGTGATATTTGGTTTGGTGCAGATACGCGCCTTTTACCAATACTACATTCGCGGATTTGAATCAATATCATGAGTGTAAAGCGGTTCATTGAACTTTTTATTTTTCCAGTGACGCATTATACCGAGACTAGAAATATTGCTTACATATTTAACTACCTAGGTATATCTCATTTTTAACAAAGTGTCGTCTTAACCTTCTACCTTTGATCTGTGGACATTAACTTTTTAGTATCAATTTGCTCAGAACTTTTTAAATTAGTAATTTATTTTATAGCAGTAACTCCTTCTTTCCAGAAATAAATGATTTCGAATAAGCATTTAAGGTACCTATTCTGTCGCCGTTGGTTGAAATGCGCTTTGAAAAAACTAAAAACCGATAAAATAATATTAAAACATATCTACTTTTCTATTGCGGTAACTTCTGACCTTATTCACCTACACAAAAACAAAAAATCCAATCGGTCTTTTTATACTGATCACTACAGTATACTTGACAAAATTTTTTAAGAAATTTCGATTGCGCCCTTTCATCTAACGGCGTATGTGTTATTCCAATGATTTATAAAAGAATTTTCTACTTTATTGTTATTACAAATACATTAAGGTTTTAATTCTATGTTGTGTTTTACTTAATTATGAATTAATTTAGAGTATAGTCCCTTTCTTGATTAAAGTGTTGTAACGTGAATATTCGGCCATCGTAACTGTTACTAAAGAGTACTAATAAAGTGAATTTTTTTTACGGTACCTAGTAACGAACGAACATGTCGTGCGCTTGCAACAGTTGCAGTGCCACTCAGTTTCAAATCGCAAAGATCTGAGTCACTGCCACTGCGCCTGTCATCCTGAGACATAAGTTGACAAGTCCCTTGTGCCCGCACCCTTGCCTTTCAGAACTTTTTTTTTTATTGGTAAGGTGGCATTACTTCATTGGATGAATTCTTTCACAAGGAGCTCCACACTTATTTCTGCCAACAAGTAGTAATGTAAGTATTTTGGTTTTGAAGACAGGTGCTGGTGAAATTACAGGCACACGAGTGGCCACTGCAACTGTTATGGGTAGGTATGTTATCAACAGGCGCATGATTTGTTCATATCGTTACTTGATAGCATAAAATATATTTCGGTTTACAACTTTTGTTTTAGTGTTCCAATCATTGACTTACAAATAAATGGACGACGGGTCTAATACAAAAACCACGAAAAAAATATCCCAAGTAAACCTATTTAAACGTAGTGACATGTAAAGGAATATGAAAAAGCTAAAACGTTGAATTTAAATTGTAATGTCATCGCAGTACTGTCTAATTTTGCTTGCTTCGCTGTCAGAAAAACAAACGAAGTCTAAAGCGTGAATGACGCTCTGTATACGATTTTAACGCCCTATAAGTTCGGACACTTTTTAGCGCGGACCCGACGTCCATATAATTGTAAGTCAATGGTTCCAATAGTAAGTTGCATTTACATATCAAAAAGTTGAACATACTTTTAATGGGATGGGAAATAGAGTGAGCTACGGAAAAAAATTCTGATAACAGTCAGTTAGGTCAGAGACGACTTGTGTCCCTCTGGTACAATTGTGACTTCAAGATCGAGTTATTTTTTGAGACCTAACAGAATTACCACACTTATAAACACTGAATTGCGTTAAGCCGGTCAAAAAAACCTTTATGTCCATGTAATAAGAGCGAAAAAGTCGGTGCGCATTTCGCTTACGCATGAATTCTGCAGCACAAAAGCAAATACTGTTGTAACTCAAAAGTAATGGAATAGAGAAAACATGATTGGAATGTTCAACAAATTACTGAATGGAACCAAAAAGTATATCGACGACACTAGGAAGGTAAAAGGTCTAACGTGCATTTGGAAAATATTACAAGAGAGCAATTTAAAGTATTGTTGTAATAAAAAAAAACTAATTTTATTTGTTATATGGAAAACTAGAAAGCTTCAACTTGTAGCGATTTATTTTTTCTTAAAAAAATAACTTAATTAAATATGTTTTACCTTTTCAGCGCCCTTATATTCGCGTTTATGGGTGGATAACTGATTATTATGTATAAATAAAAATTATCCCATTAGTGTATTTTTGTTTTTAAATCTTGTTTTCAATTCTATCATTTTTTAGTTACGCCAGTATTTGTTTTCATGTAGAAAGTGTGGTAACTCCATTAAACGTCGTTATAAATACAAACCTTGTTTTTTATGTTTTCCCCATATGAATATTATATTGTAACTTCATTGGCTGTAGTAATATTACTTGTTAAGTCTTATTGCGTATGTAATACGATAGGTATTATTATTATTAATTATTATATACTTGCACATTTGAGTTGTCTCTGTATTGGTATGTGGTAATTCAGTGCCTCCAGTGAAAAACGGAATAGAACGAGTATGATATTTAGTAGCAGTAGAGCTCCTTGTGAAAGAGTTCGTCCAGGGAAGTACTGCCACCTTACCTATTTCTGCCGCCAAGCAGTAATTAAGCATTACTGTATTCCGGTTTTGAAGGGTAGGGGTGCTGGTGATATGACGGGCACATGGGACTTGTCAACGTATGTCTCAGGGTGACGGGC